AACCTGTAACAAGACCTGCTGTGATTCATGCCTATAACCAGGCCATGGGTGGTGTTGATTTGGGCGACGAAAAACTTTACATGTATATGGCTGAGCGCCGAAGCTTGAAATGAACAAATAAAGTGTTGTTTTTTTCCCTACTTGGAAGAGCTATTCTAAATAGCTATATAATCTACCATAGCAACACGTCAGACAGACCAAAGCTCTCAAGGTACAATTTCATCGTGTCTGCACTAGAGAGCATGACATCAAACTTTGTACCCCAAAAAGTGATACGTCGAAAACGCACTAGAACAGAGATGGAGGCTGCACGAATGGGTCCAACACCACTAACCCAGACCGTAGCAGGTCATCCACTTGATGGACATGATCTTAGCAAACTGCCAGTGGGGAAAAAACGACAGTCGAACGGTTTCGATTTATATTAGCGACATTTATGCATACATACACACACCTTAATTTCTTCTTTATATATATATATATTAGGGGGGTCCAAAAAAATTTTTTTTTAACAACTTGTAGTGCTTTTTGGTTTTTCTGTTCTATGTCATGAGATAATGAAATAAAAACAAAAACTGAGTCATTCTATCATCATTTACTGCTGCCTCGTGAGGATTAAAAATGGTGATAACTGCCGATTTTCTCGTTTTTGTATCATTAAGCCAGAAAAATGTTGAGGTTTCCACATTGAAATTATAAATGTACTGAGAGTTCCAAACAGCCAACAAAATGTTCACAGACTCTGAAAATTAACATTCATTCAGTAATCAGTACTACCTAATTGGATTTGAAAATTACAATAACGGCCTTTTTTCGTTTACGCAACATAAACTCAGAACAATGTTGAGCTTTCAACAATTAAAATATAAATGCATTGCACACAGAACCAGTTAAGTAACATAAAACACTACAACACTGTTCATTGTTCATTCATTGATTGAGTGTTGCTTTCTTTGCATCTGGGTACTGTTTACGGTGTGACTCAACAACCTGATACAAGTACTGCTTTTCATCTTCCTTTTTTGTTAATGACTTGTTGAAGTTGGTTGCCAATGCAATGCCTCGCTCTGCTGAGTCATTAACAACTTTAAGTGAATGGGCAACCACCTTTGCGTGTTGGTACGCTTCCAGCTGCGGCCACTGCTCAACAGGCAAGTTCAGAAACGATTTGTCGAGATTCAAGACCTGAAAAAAGAAGTGTTATCTGCTTCCAATAAAATAATCAAGTTTCTTATCACCGAGTTCTTCTTTGCCAGTGTATTTGATTGACCTTTCTGAAGATGTTTCATGTTCGCTGGCAGTTATAAGACAAGATGCCATTCTTGTCTTGACCTCGGCTGAAACAAGGTCAGAAAACAGAGCAAGTGGCACGCGTTCTTGTCCCAAGTACCATAGATGGCGTCCAAGTGCCGCGATTCCTGTGTCTGCAATGATCTTGGAAGTGGTACGATAGTTGGTGAGGCTTTGAATAAGAGACAGATCGTTTATAGGAGCATCACAAGGGGATGTACAAGATATCCACACTTTGACATACACCAATGTTGTGAACAGTCCAAATTCTAAGCATGCTGGCTTTCATGTCGACTGAGCTTAAACTGTTCCTGAAACAAATTCAGCTTCAGAACATACAGCAACTGTGATATCCATCTGGCATGATGGAAAGCCCCAGGTGCACGGAATCGAATGCCACGTGGTGGTGTCTGTCCCAAAAAAATCATGGCCAGCTCTAATAATTCCCTGTGGTCTTCTCTTGGAATTGCTCCCCTGTTACCAGTCAAAATGTCCTGACAGAATTTCAATATTTCCTGTTTTAGCAATGCTAGACTTTCAGTCATTAGGCGGGTGTCTGCACATGGTTTGTATGCCACTTGGTCAATATTTGGCCAAATTCTTGAAATCTACGAAATAATATCACATTTGGCCCTGATGTTGGGCCAAACACCTTTTTATAAATGTCGCTGCATAGGACTTCAAGGATGTGGTGTCGGTAAGCAAACCATAACAGTTCTTTGCCTAGTTTTTGCTCCAGTAGCACACATGCGCCATTGAGATGGCCGGTGTTTGCTGAAGTTTTTTCAAATGACATTCCTGCAGCTCCCAATCAGTGATGGTTTCTGCTGCAGCTTTGGCTATTTGCTCACCTGTTCCTTGTACAACTTTTGGAATAGCCAAAAGCTTTTCAGTTGTACAACCTGTTACAATGATTGCACGCTTTTGCTGTGTTTGACCTTGTGTGTCTGAACTGTCTGATGATTTGCATTCAGGATTGTAGTCACTGAGTTCTGCACTACTTTCTTCATCAAGATCACTAATGTCACTGGTGTCACCATTATTCAAACTTGCCGATGCTGGTGCACTTGCCTGAGCTAAATCATTTAGCCTCCTGTCTTCTTTGGTCCTCAGTTCAGCTTCTCTTTGTATTCTTACACTGCTCGTCGACCTTCTACTGCTGTAAGCTGCTGGTCTATTTTACCCATGACATACTTCCTTTCTGTTCTTTGATCAGCCAGAAAAACCCTATCTTCTTCAATTTTTATTCGGTTCATCGCATCATGATGAGCAATGTCAAACAGGCCATTCATATCAGTTCAAAATTTGACTCCCTTGCCATCTGAGCTGTGCCACCACGGGTCTTATTGCGACAGACAGTTCTGTGTTTATCAACTAGAAGTTTTAGCTTGTGGATAATATTTCTTTCTTCAGCTGATGGTACTCTTGCTCTGGCCAATATCTCGCAAACCTCTCTAACAGTAACTGTGATCAGTTCAGTTTTAGACAGTTTTTCATTATTGTGATGATGATAGTAGACTTGTAAAACTTCTCTAGTTGTTGGTAGCATATTTCCATTAAATAACTGTACTGGTTCGCCAATCAGATGAATATATGTCTGAGATCTTGTAACAGCCATTTAAAAAAAAAATGTCTCTAATAAATCAATAGCCAATACCTCCTAGAAATAAATGAAAATTAAGACAAATATTAAAAACTTGTAGACAGTAAAATCAAAAATGAAGTTGTTTACTTTTTTAAAAGTTAAATATTCTTTGTACTTACAAAAAATAAGTAACAGTTGACCAGTTTTCAATTTGATCTTTAAGCTGGAAATAATATCGATTTTTGGGACCAAACAAAAAATTCAGGTGCTTTGAGGCAGTACTAAATTAACTTCAAATGGAGTTATATTTTATATTCAAGGTCTCTGTAGCTCAGGTAACACAATTGTTATGAAGCACTAGCAATTTTTCAACTTTTATTTTTTACCTATGCATTGTGAACCACCCTAATATATATATAGGTATAGTGATCTTTAATAGGAATACATAAACGAAGACTGTGACTGAATGATGAAACTCCCTGTAGAATTGTTTGAAAGTGGTTCTTAAATTAATGGTCAATTTCTTGTATTCATTACTGAACTGATGCTGGCTGGTTGGTTTGCTGACACTATTTCAATAAACTTGCTTTGTCATTGACTGACTCACCAGGCGACAGATGTTGTGCCGCTATAAAACTTTGCCGTGCTAATACATTGTGACCAGTTAACTATATACGTCAGATAAATAATAGTTTGAAAAAATTATTTCAAGATGTTCTTATGGAAGGGGGATTATTTTATTGACCATTGGCTTGATCAGGATGTTGTGAGACCATGAATTGAATTTACTTACTTAGAAGATCGCCCCCCTCCCCCCCGGCGCCGTTCGTCGCTTTGGGCGGCAAGCTCTCTCCACAAAAATTTGTCACTTTAAATGTCTGAAGCCTCTTCTTACCTGGTGTCCACTGCTCTGAGGTCCTCAGTGAAAGTTTGGCGCCAAGTTATACCATGACGTCCCTGTTAGCGGTTTCCTCGAATCGGCCTCCATGTCATTGCAACTCTTGGTATATGTAATTCTTTCTCGAAGGCTATCTATATTCTGTATGTCATTATATATAGGTACATCTCCACGCTGTCCAAAGTCACTAATACATTGACTAGAATTTTCTTTAACAATGGTGGGCAACATTTTTCTTTCGTCAAGTCATATTGATTTCCAGAGATAGTGCCGCCTGATGGAAAAAAAATATTCGAGGTTGTATTCAGCGTGTTACATGCCGGAACTGTCCCGTGAGCCGTAGTTAGAATATCAGTGCAGAAGATTTGATAGGCCGTATGCAGCGTGTTACATGCCGGAACTCTCCCGTAAGTTGTAGTTAGAATATCAGTGCAGTAAATTTGATAGGTCGTATGCAGCGTGTCACAACCCGACTGTCCCGTGGGTCGTAATTAGAATATCAGTGCAGTAGATTCGAGAGGCTGTTTGCAGCGTGTCACAACCCGGAACAGTCCCGCGGGCTGTAGTTAGGATGTCACTGAAGTCACTGTTCTTAAGGGTAGTATAGTTGGAATAATGTGATTGACAATCCAATGCTGTTTCTCATGACCTTTTGATACAGTTAATATTTGAGTTTGTCTTTGTCGTCATTCTATTTCACTGAATATATTAGTATTTCCAAGTGTTGGACTCTCAATCATATCCCTGACTTCTGCATCCCTGTCCTCGGCTCCCATCGCTTTAAAGTCTCAAATAGACTCAGAGATTACCATCCTCTCTTGTGGTAGCCAGTGAACTTTAGCAGGTATCCACTGTTTTACAGTGAGTGCATACCAAATGGAATTACAATTCTGATGTTTAAAGGCTAAACTACCACCCGCGTTCTAAGGGTTAAGAATTAAAAAATAAAACTTGACGTCCTACTTTATACATTAAGGGTTCGAACTAGAAGCGCTAGTCATACGTCCTAGCAGCCTCTCCTCTGCAATAAGAAAAGACCACCCACTACCATTGATCTAACCTCGGTTTTAGCTTCCAAGAAAATTGTGTGTGTGTGTGAAAGTTCACTGTGTATATGCGTGAGTGCGTGGGCACGCCTAAGTGTTAGTGTTTAGATTTCAAACTGTTTGATCTCGCTATGCCTGTTAATTTGCTGGGTGGGTCTTGGTATAGTCTGGTTTAAATGGTTGTCATCTACTAGCCAAGAGGCTTCAATTTGAATTTCCATAAATAGTCTTCTGAACTAGGTAACTGTGTAGTCATAGTCTCGGCTCTTTAGTACAAACATTAGGTCTAGTTCTTCAAATACACGACCACAGACCTATATATATTATATCTAGACTGGAAAACGGAAATAAATTCTTATCCGCGATTGATCCACTCACAGACCTATATGTATAGATTGTTATGTATCAATCACAGAACTATATATTCACGCAAATTCATGAAATAAAGCCATTTACTGTTAGTGTCCATTTAGATAAAGTTTCGAAAATCCTAGATTGAAATAATTCACGTCTATTGATTTTAGTCATCTTATGTATATTTAAATAGATAGATTACCTAGATCTTTTTAGATTAAGTATCTAAAAATTGCAAAATAATAATTATGAGTCAAGAGTGCTCTTCTTTCGATGTTAAACATTAAGTTATATGTTACATAGGTTAGGGTTGAAAAAATAATAATTCTTGTAACTACCTACTTTACAAAACAACGCATTGTTTCAGCTTTTTAAAAAAAATTCACGACATTTTCGTAGTGTTAAAAGATCTCAATGTCCAGTCTAGATTTAATATATATAATTCTATGTACACGACCTATAATTCATATGTATTCAAATCTTCTGAATCAGGGAATGCACATACACATACTGCGGACTGATTCGTTGAGAAATCGTTAGTCTTTTTAATGCGGAAGGGTGACTTGTCTCGTAAGAAAAACATTGTTATTAGGCAAGCGGAGGGGCGACTTTCAAATCTGAGAATTGATAAAATCTGTGATAGTTATGCTACTTTAAGTCCACTTTTTTTTACCATTAAGTCATAGAAATTTGAGGCATGCGTGTCTGGGGCCGGACCATCGCAAAAGTTAATCGATTCCAGATGTAACCAATCCTTCGAGACTTCATAATACATTATGGGAAGGTTACAATGGGGCTTATAGCTCGACATTACGGGCCAGGTATGGCCCGCAGGTCGTGAGTTGAGGATCACTACTACTTGACATGATTCTGGAGGCCATAGATTACACTTCAAGTTGCGGTAGAGGAATAATGCATGGAAAGACTTTGGACCGTCCTGGGTTAAGGCACGGGTTATGGCACACATCTCCTTAGTCTGGTATTGAATTCAATGATTACAAACTTGGAACTGTCAGCTCAACTATTTCTTTTCCATTTATGGATTACAAAAATTTTAAGGAAAATTATAATTACCCGGCAATGATGTACGAAGCTAGTTTACATCGTTTCCCATAAAAATACAACGCAAAACATAACATTCAATCATAACATTTGATTCATCAATCTTTAGACCCTAGCAATTAGTGTAACAACAATTGATTTTTTAATTTTTGTTAATTGAAATGTTTCGGGACTTCAAACTGCAATCCTAACTAGACAACGAAAGTATTAGTCTTGTGTATACCTTGGCAAAGTCTTTGACTTAAAGCAGTGGGGCCCAACTTTTTGTGACCTTTGGGGACCATAGACATTTCTGAGACTCTAATCAGGGGCAAAGAAAATCATCGCGTCCAGTGGAAGTGACCCCCGACGACATCATCATGTTCTGTGAGCAGGCTTTACGAGGGGCCGGCTAGCAGAGTGTTACGGGCTGGATCAGGTCCGCGGGCAGTAGTTTGGGCATCACTGAGTTAAAGGAAATAAATTGGTGTCAGATGTGTTTGAGATCTAAATGTGTATAAAAAAGAACACGGATCGAGAGATACAGGGAAAGACGGAGATAGACCAGGAAACGTCACGCTAGTTCTTGAGAGAGGAGAGGACTTCAGACAAGAAAGGGAAATTGATAGACCCAGAACTGGTAGAACTGGAACACCACAGTACAGAATGTCTAAATATAGCTGGTTAAAGGAAGTGCGCGCTTTCTACCTGGATAATTTCGACACCCCCTCCCTCGACTCCAATAAGATACTTGTTATAATATATAACCTTGTGATATCACACATTCCCACTTTCCACGAGATGACTAAAATATACATTGCCCTCGCTTGGGGCTGAGTCTGTTTAGTTAATAATTCAGTGATTCTAAAGCTGGGTCGTTTTCGGTAAATATGGGTATTTTTTCCCCTTATTAAAACAGAATAATATGCTTTTTAGAGTTTTTAAAAACATTTGAATTTGCGATCGGACGGAGCCCATAACATTTCAACCCGAACCCTAGTGCCCTTTCAATAACTCGTTTTCACGCTGTATGGTTTAAACGTCTTTCGGTGGGGAAATGTAACACTGCTAGTTAAATCACATCCCATAAATCTTCTCTTCAATACCATTGCAATTTATGATTATTTTTGTTATTTCTGAGATCCAGTTAACAATAAAAATGTAGTAGTGTGAACGAAAAGAGCATAAAGTAAAAGTTCCTATTCTGAACTTAAAGTCTATAGGGCGGATGATGGAAAATGTCAGTATTTGCGGCCTACGGTTAACGAGGGTGTCATGTGGCCAGCACAACGACCAACCGCCTTTACTTTTCCTCAACTAATGTCGGGTACCCATTAGAGCTGGATGGACTCAGAGGCGCCTAAAGATCCTAAGATTAAAAAATTTCCCAGTCTTAACCAGGATTCGAATTCGGTACCTCCCCCCCCCCCCCCCCATTTGAAAAATTCAGCTCTTTTACCGCTCAGCCACCGCGCCTCCTAAGAAGAGAAAGTGATATGACAAAAATAATGTGGCAGCAAGATTTGTTAGGGTTAGGGTTGAATCGAAAGAAAAACGTAAGAAATGTAAACAGGAAGATTTGGGAGAGATTTGACCAAGATGCTACATTGAAAGGTCACTGTTGCTAGCTAAATCAAAACTAATTACTTGTTTGTTACACATGAGAGCACTTAGAACTTGGATTCCACAATGCTGAAAAGTGCATTGAAATTATTCCATGTTTTATTAAAAGACTTCACTTATCAGTACTTTAGTATTACGTACAACGGTTACACCAGAAAAGCTGTTTATGGATCAGTCAGCCATCCTGGCTTAGTATGTATGTTGTTCTGTTTGTATCCTCCAAAAACTGAATAGATGTACGACGCTATACGTTATACCTAATCGTGCGGGGTGGTTTGGGAGCCTCTTTTGAAAAGTGATGGGGTGATATTGTTGTTTCCTAAGTAGAAAGTACATAATAATTTAAAAAATTAACAATTGTTGTTTCACTACTTTTCATTATCTTATCAAGCTGAAATTTCGCTTTATTAATTGTTGAATTAATCGAAATTAATTTTTATCTTATCTGGATAATAGAAAAAAAAATTGACGGCCATTTTTATTTTCAATTTATTGAAATGTTATTAATAGAGCTAGATCTATATGGTTAACCTTTTGTCATTCGGACGGTTAAATGAGTTGATAGAGCGTTGTGCTAATAACGTGAATCTCCAGGTTTCGTTCCTTATACTGACCTTGTTTCTTTTTCTCTCTCTAATTTTCAATGACAAACTATGAAGGTTTAGAGTCTTCCTCATTACTTCAACAGAAAGTAGGAATTAATTTTTGAAATATTTTTTTTACATGTTATATTACTGTTATACCCGCTTTAAAAATACTTTGCGCAGGCTGGAGGCAATACAGTAATTTATACAATTTGCATGACTCGACACAATAGACTCGATTAAAGGGTGAAAATATGTAGGTCACAGCTGGGGCTAGCAGGCGCGGTGGCTGAGCGGTAGGCGCTTGGATTCTGACCCGGAGTCCCGGGTTCGAATCCTGGTGAAGACTGGGATTTTGAATTTCGGGATCTTAGGGCGCCTTTGAGTCCACCCTAGCTCTAATGGGTACCGGACATTAGTTAATCGTTAACCGTAAGCCACAGAAATAGATGACCTTTACATCATCTGCCCTATAGATTCCAAGGTCTGAAAGGGGAACTGTACTTTTACAGCTGGGCCAGCGTATCCACGGGAATTACTGCATTCCTCATCATCTTCAAACTCGAAGACAAGCTTTTAAATATGTGTGAGTAGTTTTAAAAATATAGATTTCTTTAGTCAAGGGACTGAGACCTATTTCAAGGATCGTCGTTACGTAGTTGAGATATCCCCTATCCACCCCCCCACCCCCCCGCTCCGTATTTCACAATGTCATATTTCTGTATTTGGTTGGAGTGGGGTATCGGGTTACCGTTACCAACGCACTAAAACAAAGAGGGGATCATTGAGGCGATACGACACAGATGACTCTCCGTTGGAGATATGATTCGACCGTATCTTTCCCATCAGCCAAACATATTTTTTTGTTATTATGATTGTCAAAGTGTAGTGCACAGATCAGATTCCAGCAGATGTTGAAGCCGATCAAAGAGAATTTGAATGGAAAGATGGATGTGCTACAAAGAAAGAAAGAGAGAAAGAAATAGAAAAATAAAGAGACAGAAAGAAAGAGAGAGAGAAAGAGTCGTGTGAACGAATTGTCGGATGAACGAAAAGTCGTAAACGATTTGTCGGTAAACGAAATGTCGGTGAACGAATTGTCGTGTCCCTGATATTATAAAGTAAAGTTCCCTTTTCAAACCATGTGATCACCTGTAGTGCAGATGACGTTAAAGTCATCTGTTTCTGTGGCTTACGGTTAGCGAGGGTGTCATGTGGCCAGCTCAACGACAAAAAAATGCTTTTATTTCCTCAACTAATGTCAGGTGCCCATTAGAGCTAGTTGGGCTTGGGGCGCCCAAGGATGTTGAATTTAATGATACCAGGACTCGCAACTGGAACCATTCAACATTTACACTAGTAACCTACTCCTAAAGATGCGCTATATAAAATCAATTTTATTGTTTTAAAAAAGGTTAATCAGACCGCAATTGTTTTTGTGTGTTTGAAGTAAAGCTTCTCTATGGTCAGTATCCTTTTCGTCGGGGGTCTCTAGCTGAAACCTTTTCAAATCAATCTGTAAGTACTTGGAATATATCCACAGTACTTTTTTTTCTTGACTATTTTCCCATTCTCAACTTCCAAACTAAAAGGAATTAGTTTAAATCCCAGAAGAGGCGTGGATATTAAATGGCACAGAATGGAACCAATGAATCAGCTCTTCT